GGCCAACGATCAGCTGCGGACGGAGTTGCAGGCGACGCAAGCTCATGTGAGTTCGCTCACCGAGATCCTCGACGTTGTGGCGGTCGGGAACCCGCAAGTGGCGGAGATGTTGCGTCAGAGACGGGAAAGCGGAGCCCTTCCACCATCTCAGTCGCAGCCGGCATCCAACACTGGAGACGACGACTTCGTGCAACAATTTGATGAGTAGCATCCGTTTTAGTTTTAATTTTGTATATTATGAATTTTTAAACTTATTCATGTATATTATTTAGTTATTTATAATTATTTAATTATTTAAATTTTTATTTTTAATTTGGTTTTTCTAATTTTTTTAATATATATATAATTTTAAATTTATAAATATTTTTTTTAAAAGAAAAATACATTTCCAAGCAATTTCCTCGTAAAGCTTTCGAAGTCATCTCCTAGTAAATATTCCTAGCAAGTTCCTCGTAAGGTTTCCTCGTAAGCTCTTCGTATATTTTCCTAGAAAGTTCCTCGTAATAAACCTACTACGAGTTTACGAGGAAAGACTTTACTATGAGCTTACGAGGAAACCTTACGTGGACTTTACGAGGAAAACTTATCCACGCCTTTACGAGGAAATGTTTCCTCGTAAGTTAGCTAGGACTTTACGAGGAAAATAGGCTTTACGATGAACGCCTTTCGACGAAACGGGTTTCCTCGTAATTTCCTAGTAAAGGCCCTTTTACTAGGAAATAACGAGGAGAACCCGTCTTAGTAAATGGCCTGTTTTCTTGTAGTGATAATTTATGAGTTACATTGTATTCTAAAAACTTATCAAAAAAATATATTAATATTAGATGTAAATATATATGTTACAATTAATTTTAAAGCATGTCATAATTATTAGTGGATATGTATTAGTTTTTTGGTGAAATTGGTTGTGGTGATAATACATGTATATGTCAGTTGAATATAATAGATTGTGGATGTATGCGATATGAAAATAATTAATAAGTAAGATTAAGAAAAAGATTCTGATAACGGAAATACTAATCAACGGTCCGCACGTGCGTACGAAGACTTGACACGTGCGGAAACCAGGTAGCTCCTCCTTTGAGTTTTATAAACGTTTCTAGGGTTTACGAATCGGGTCTCCTCCCCATTTCTTCACCTACTTAACTCTCTCCGTTAAACAATATACCTACCCAGCGGCGAAATTCAAAACAGGATCGTCGGATTCCGGAGGGATTTGTATTCGTTTACGTTACTATTTTGTGTGTGTGTGTGTGAGAGAGAGAGAGAGAGAGAGAGAGAAAGGGGTTTAGGGTTTTTGGGTTGTTGATACGATGGATGAGAATTTACTGGACGATATAATACGGAGGCTGTTGGAGACTAATAACGGGAGGGCGGTGAAGCAGGTGAAGCTACTTGAGGTTGAGATACGCCAGCTTTGCTCTGCCTCTAAAGAGGTTTTTCTCAGCCAGCCTAATCTCCTCGAGCTTGAGGCTCCTATCAAGATTTGCGGTACATATTACTTAACTAAAGAAGCATTCTTTTTAATCTCTGCTTGCTCGTCTTATCATGCATTGCTTCTTGTGTTGTGGGTTTTGATTAAGTGCATTTTTTATGATGCAATGTTTAAGCATTTGTAAATATGTTGTAAATGAAGCTTAGTTTTGTTTGTGAGAAATAGGTTTTACTTTGGGTATGTTGTTGTCACTTCAAGTAATGAAGATGTGACATTGTAATGTTTAACTTGGTAAGTATGTTGTTGAGGAAGCGTAGCTTTACTTGTGAGCTATTGGTTATGGTTCTTGTCACTTCAAGTAATGTTTTTTAGTGATTTTGACCTTTACCTTTAGCTTTCGTGAGTTTTTGAAGTAACCATGTTCATTAGAGCTGATGCCTAACATGTAATTGGAACTTCATTTGATAGTTTCTGAGTGTATGATACATCGATACTTACCTGTACTTGCGTTAAACTCATTCTACTGCTACCATAAGATTCATTAGTGCTGACGATTTTATGTTGATGAGCAGGTGATGTTCATGGTCAGTTTCCAGACCTCTTGCGGTTGTTTGAGTATGGTGGCTATCCTCCAGCTGCGAATTACTTGTTCCTCGGGGACTATGTTGATCGTGGGAAGCAGAGCATAGAGACGATATGCCTTCTTCTTGCCTACAAGCTCAAATACAAGCTCAACTTCTTTCTTCTCAGAGGCAATCACGAATGCGCTTCAATCAACCGTGTCTACGGATTCTACGATGAGTGCAAGAGAAGATACAACGTGCGCCTGTGGAAGAGTTTCACCGACTGTTTCAACTGTCTGCCTGTTGCTGCTCTCATCGACGACAAGATACTCTGTATGCACGGTGGACTATCTCCTGATCTGAAGAGCTTGGATGATATTAGGCGGATTCCGCGTCCTGTTGATGTTCCTGATCAGGGAGTCCTTTGTGATTTGTTATGGGCTGATCCTGACAAAGAAATCCAAGGCTGGGGGGAGAATGACAGAGGTGTGTCCTATACATTTGGTCCCGACAAAGTGGCTGAGTTCCTTCAGACTCATGACCTTGACCTTGTTTGCCGAGCTCATCAGGTAAAATCTAAACCACATTAGCAACTGTGTTCTCAGCTGTTAAGAACCAGAAGAGTACATAGTTAATTTATCGAGTATAAATAGTATTGGCTCATGATGGTTTGCTTACACACACGTTGGGATTCATCCCTAGGCTTCTATCTTTGATTCTTTTTTCTTTTATGTGACTGTGTTGAGCTGATCCTGAGTATAAATGATTTTTCAAATTAATGATTCAAGTGCTGCTAATCTTAGGACGTGTGTAAGACTCTTAGGCAGTAAATCAATTTGTTACGACTGATATGGCAGGTTGTAGAAGATGGATATGAGTTCTTTGCAAAGAGACAACTGGTGACAATATTCTCCGCACCCAACTACTGTGGGGAGTTTGACAATGCTGGTGCAATGATGAGTGTTGATGATAGCTTGACATGTTCGTTCCAAATTCTCAAGTCAACTGAGAAGAAAGGAAGATTTGGATTCAACAACAATGGTCCTAGGCCAGGAACACCACCTCATAAGGTGAATTACTATCTCCCTCGCACATGGTTTATTGTTTTCTTTTCACCATAAAGATAGATATCAAGTTGATATGTTAAACTTTTTTTGCAGGGAGGGAAAGGTGGTTAAGACCGCATCAGTAGGTGTTTGAGACAACACAGTTTTTTTTTACTAGGTCGCTTTTTGTTTTGTTTGATTGAAGCAAGATTTTGTTATCTGTTAGAATGTTTTGTAATTGGTTTTAACTGATGGAAGTTGGGTTTATACATCTAACAATAAGAATGTTATTTCAAGCCTCTCGAGTTGGAAGAAAAAAGTACAAAACACAACTTTTCCACCACAATATTAATCATGACGTTTTCTCGGACTATAGCGCAAGAATGAATTCAACAAAAAGAATAAACTATGAAGTCCTAAAGATTCGTCAGAATATTTGACAAGACCAGAAAGAGGATTTTATAAAGATCATTCAATACTACCATTTCTTGAGCTCCATGCCATCTGGTGGATCGCTCTCCACTTTCTTAGCCCCAACCTCTTTCCAGTTTGTAGATAGTACTGTCCCATTTGACTCCGCCTATCAGAACACAAAACATCCCAGATGAAGTAAAAGTATATCATCAGAGGCTAAAGAACAAAAGAAAGGTTCTTTAACCAAAAGAGAGAGTGATTAGCTCACAAATGATTTGTTCATGGCTCGCCTCATGTCCTCATTTGAACTCTGGTATATATCGCTGAGACCCTTTTTCATAGCGGCATCTCCATCTAGCATCTCATCCTTCTCCTGCATATATTAAAAAGCCATAAGCAGAAAAATAGAATAAAAAGTAAAGTAGATCAAAGCCTCTGGAGCTAAAAGAGGAACCTCTTTCTTCACTTCAGCCACCAGCTTGTCCCAGTCTTTTGCCGGCTTAGATGATGGGTACACTGGCCTCTGCGAAACCGCTGCATATGAACAGAAAATCACATGAGTGTGGTTCAAGCTTTGTGCAATTGCTGTTTGGAAATAGATCAACTAAACACAGTGGAAACAAAACGGTTGCAGGGTAAAAGAAACCTGATGCGACATTGGGTTTAGGTAGAAGAGCTTGCCCTTTGCCATATTCAATGGAGGCCCAAGTGGTTATCTCTGCTTTTGCCAGACGGATCTCAACTTTGGTTGACAACACTTCATATCTGCACTTCTCTGGTATTATCTGAATAAAACCCATGAAGAATAATTTAGTATAAGTATGTTGAAGAACATGACAATGGCACTGGTGGGATAAAAAAAAAGTTTACCTTCCCAAACAATCTTGGCTGGAAGTGATAAGCTTTCTCTCCAGCAATATCAATCACAACACTTAGCTGCAAAAGAAAAAGAAAAAAAGTGCCCCAGAAATTAGTACACAAAGTCAGATTACAAAGCAAGTCCGATGGCAGAATACTCACAATCTGGTCACCAAACTCGACATTCACGTTCTGCTTTGGTATTCCTTTAGCGAAAATTGTCACCACCGCTTCTTCTGGCTTCTGGTAAAACTCGTGTCTGTTGAACCATGGAAATTGAGATATAATAAAAATTAAAAAAAAAAAACAAAGTAACAATTTGGAAAACTAGACTACCTGAACATGGGTTTCGGAGCAGGAGGAGAATCATCTGCAGTTGCTATTGGTGATGTGATAGAGCTTGAAGGCAAGGTGTGCGGCATCTGCTGAACCAAATCTTTCTCTTCTTCTAAAGAAAGACACAAAAGATCATATCATAAATCTAAGAGCATAGGTGCAGAAGCGTTTAGCACATTCTTTTTTTAAGCTATGGAGTTTGTGTAATACCTGCAATGAGAAGATTGCAGTCATCTAGCATCTTCTTAAACTCTGATTCATTTGGTGCAACAGAAGCGCCCTTTTCAAGAGCTGCTTTAGCAGTTCTGTATTCCTCTAGCTTCATACAAGCAGTGCTGCAAATACAAAATAGTATCGGAAGGTGATAGATACAGATATGATGTCTTCATCATGGTTATTATGTTCATTAAACTCTGTACAGAGAGATGACGATGACAAAAATGATACCCTTTTCTGAGGTACGCTTTAGCCAACGTAGGCTCCAACTCAATGGCTTTGTTCGCATCTGCAACAGCTTCTGCTCATCGAAAAATCACATGTCAAATCAAGAATCTAACAGCAATTCTATCTTTATACTAATCACTTGTATACTCGGAGGAACACAAGAATTAAACATTTATCCTAATAACGTAGAAAAGATGCATAGAGCTTCTTTTTTCTAAGAGTCACAACTGTATAATCAAACTACAAAGTACACCAATCAATCAAGACAACAAAAGAACCCTAAAATCAAGTTCGCTTCTGCTATGAACAGATCGTAGAAGAAGAAGAAGACGCAGGAGGACGAAGAATCGTCGGAAGGAAGAGTTTGTTACCGATGAAGTTAAGGATCTTGATGTTGGCCAGAGCACGATCGGCGAAGAAGGCGGCGCAATTGGGATCCAAGTCAATGGCTTTGGAGTATAAGTCAACAGCCACGTCGAAGTCGTCATCTAAGAAAGCCTCTTTAGCTTTTTCCGCCAGTTCCTTCGCCATTGAATCGGATTTTTTTTTTCTAACTCTTTCGAGAGGAGACGCAGAAGACAGAGTAGAGAAAGAGAATGATAGGAAGAGATCTCAAGGGGTATGTGAGGATTTAGAAGTGAAGAGAATTCGAAGAGAGATGATGACGTGGAAGTCAAGTTGAGGAAGGCAGTTACAGACCGTTGGTTGGCACTTGGCAGTTAGAGTCAAAGAAGAAGAGTAGTAGTTTAAGAGTTGTAATTCTTGGAGGTCCTTTATGCAATTTAGAGGAGTTGTACAGTATCTTGGTCCTGGTAGAGTAGTCTACCGTATTTGGCGGTTAGAGATTGTAATCGGCTTACAAAAAGGATATACATACATACATACTTTTGTTCTTATTAGAGAACCCACACAATCCTTGAGACCTTTTGAGTTTATGAACCAACCTTGCTTGCTTTGAGTTCGAACGCTTTTAATCCGTAATTTTATGAATATTAAATTGAATCTTTGACTTATCCACTAGTACAGATTCCAGTCACTTTTCTTTATAGCACACTAGGTAAAACATGCCCTCCAGGCAGATAAGCACGTTATATTCAAATTCTAATAAATATTTGATATTTTCAAATATTAAGAAAGTTGTTATATTTTAGAACATAGTATATAATTAATAAAATTTACTAATTATAAAAAATAGACATTATTTGATTGGTCACATTATATCTAGTACATGTAAAAATTATCTACATGTAAAAAAATTACCTATATTTTGAATCAAAAAAAAATTCATAATACTATTTACAATAAGAAACGGAGGAAATAGTATATAGTTTTAATGAAAATATATTATTTAATTTGTTTTTGTTAGCCAATACATAATTTGAGAAGAAACTATAGTTTGCAAAAGAAATGAATGATTATTAATGAAATAGATCGAGCTATAAAACCCATTTGTTACTTTGTATGTGGAACTTTAAGAATTATTATTTTCGAGTAACAAAACTATAAGATTTATTGCTCTAAGTAATCCAGAACCAATAATTGTTGATTTTTAGTATTTCTTTGAACTGAGTTTTAATTTAAACTAGGTAGGGACCCGTGCGTTACACGGCTTTCAATTAATATTTTAATTTAATGAAATACATAAAAGTGAGAAAAAAAATTGCAAGCGTTAGATTTTTGCATATAAATATACTATATGAAACTTATTCAATGAATTAAAAAAATCCACATAAATTTTGATTGATATATTTATGTTTTAATAATCATAGTGCAAAGCTTTCTATTTAGGTTAGAGAAAAAATCCAGATCCAAAAACTTAAATCGAATCCAATCCCGTAAAATATGAATTAAAATGAAATACAATAAATTAGAAAGTTGAATCAAGTCAATCAAGTCAATAGTAACGTCATACATATTCTTATCTCTTCATTGAATATTAATTTTCTTATGATTACTCACGAAGTATATGACAACCATAAAAACATTACCAAAATTTTATATTACGAAGAATTGTAATAACAAGTTTTAAAAAAAAAAATTACTAAGAAAATTAAGAAGATAGATATCTATTGATATTATATTAGTATAAAATAAGGAAAATAAAACATTCATATATTATAAATTTTTAAATATCACTCGAATCTACGTGTTTTAGCCTTTTCTAAATCTAACAATTTTTCTTTTTATTTTTGTTCTTCTCGTTCTTTGGTGCTCTTGTTCCCATAATTCTTATCCATTGAAACTAACTAAACCGTAAAAAAATTAAAGTATTAAGTTACATTATATAATAAATCTAACAAACATAATATATAGTATATTTACTTTATGTTTTTGTGAATCTTTATAACTTTGATAAGAAGATTGGATTTCTTCTTTTTTTCTTTACTTTTATATCAAATATAAGGTTTGCCTTGTAGTTAAATGCACATTTTAAAAACCATTTTTAATAGGATTTAGAAAAGGGAAATTACTATTAAATTTTATTATTACATTAATATTAATTATTTTTTTACCACATGTCATAATCTTAAAATATTCTTGCACATGTATCATGATCATATAAATTAGAAACTTTGAAACCCAAGGCATATATAATAAGGAAATTATGTAAAGATTTTAATTTTATGACTTTTAAAAAAGGAAAATAACTATCTAATAATGTCATGTTTATAAGGAAAATCACTCTTAAATATTTATAAGAAAAACTAATTTTGTAATTATCTTTTTTATAAGGAAATTCTGTATCTTGAACCAATGTCTCTTGATTTTGTAATTATTTTAAATCCCTAGATTTTATTTGACCTTGAAAATAAGGTCGTTAAAAAAAAATACTACAATTAAAATAAATTTATAGATTTTGAAATTATAAATAAACCATATTTTTTATTCAACCTTCCAAATAATATTCTACTTAAAGAAATACTATAATTAAAATAAACTTATAAGAAATTTTAATTTTAAAATTATCTTTGTTTAATATTTTTAACAGCAAAAATAATATATAATATTTAACCTAAATTATAATTTTCTGTATTAAAATAAATTAGTTACATAATTATACGTATACATATAATATTTATGTCTATTTAATATTTTTTACAGCACAAATACAGGTTAATATATAAAATATTATTTAGCATTCTATAATGAGCTTAACACAACGTTTTTAAAAATAAATATTATTATTAAATAATTATTTATAGGGAAATATAATTTTTTTACATATTTTTGTTTAAGAATTTTAAAAAAAGGAAACCTAACTTTTTACAAATAATATCTGTAAGGAAATTTATATTAAATTACTGTTTAGTATTTCATAATTATTTTAACACCACGTTTTAGAAACGAAATATTATTACTAAATAATTATTTATATGGAAATATAACTTTTATGTATTTTTGTTTAAGATTTTTTTTTTTTTAAAAAGGAAACTAAATTTTAAATTATTTTGGTTTAAGCTTTTTTATAAAAGGAGAATTATTATTTAACACATATCATAATTATAAATATATAATTTTCATAAGTCATGATTTTATTAATTAGAAACTCTGAAAATATAAGTTTTTACAGTTTTATGTTTAAGATTTTTTCAAAAAACAAAAAAAGTAACTTTTAAATTATTTTGGTTTAAGTTTTTTTTTCTAAACAAAAATTGTTATTTAATACATATCATAATCTTAAATATATAATTGCAATGTGTCGCAACAATGTTACTTAGCACCTTTGGAAACCAAACTTTATATAAATTTATTATAGATATTGTAATCTTATTATCTAAACCAATATTGTTTTATTTAACCTTGCAAATAAGATTTTGTACAAAAGAGTACTACAATTAAAATAAACTTATAAGAAATTTTGTTTTTACAACTTTCTTTGTTTAATATTTTTAACAGAAAAATACCATTTAATATTTAACCTAAATTATACTTTTCTGTATAAATATAAATTAGTTACACAACTGTACGCATATATAATATTATTTTTTTTAATATTCTTAACAGAAAAAATACTATTTAATAATTTTATCATAAAAATATTTTAAATAATATTTGTAAGGAATTTTATATTAAAATAGTGTTTAGCAATTTATAATTATCTTAACACCACGTTTAAAAAAAAAGAAATATTACTATTAAATAATTATTTAATATGGAAATATAAGTTTTTACAGATTTTTTAAAAAATATTTTTTGTAAAAAGGAAAACTAACTTTTTGTAAATAATATTTGTAAGTAAATTTTTATTAAAATAATGTTTACTATTTATAATTATCTTAACACTACATTTTAAAACAGAACTATTATTTATATGGAAATATATTTTTACACATTTTGGTTTAAGATTTTTTGTAAAAGGAAAAAATAAATTTTAAACTATTTTGGTTTAAGTTTTTTTTTAAAAAGGAAATATATATTTACCATATATCATAAGAAATGTATAGTATTTATAATTATCGTAACACCACGTTTTAAAAAGAAATATTATTATCAAATATTATTTATATGGAATAATTGTTTTTTACAGATTTTGGTTTAAGAATTTTTTAAAAGGAAAAAATAACTTGTAAACTATTTTGGTTTTTGTTTTTTTTTATAAAAATAAAATTAATATTTACCATATATCATAATCTTAAATATATAATTGTCATGTGTCGTGATCAGGTTAATTATTAACTTTGAAAACCAAGCTTTATATAATAAGATGCTAGTATTAAATAAGGGAAAATTCCATATAAATACCCCAACTAAATTCTATTAAGCTTTTTAATACTCAAACTTTTTCACTGCCCAGTTTAATACATCAACTAATTATTCTGTCCATTTTAATACACCAACTTTTATAATTGTATCTATTTTAATACTCAAACTTTATTTATTTTAATTAACAATACTAATAAATTTCAAACGAAATTTTCAAAAATCTCCAAAATCTAACAAATATCTAATCAGGCCATTGTAGAACCATATATACATTTCTTTATATTCGATCGATGGGTTATGTCAACCACTCGTGGTGGCTCTCCTCCTATCAGGAATCCTATGAATCGTTTGGTTTTGTCATGCGTATAACCGAGTTAGTGGCGGTCAAGGCCACAATACGATTTATTTATCTAATCTTCAGTTGCGATTCACTTTGTTCATCATTAGTTGATGCCAAATATGTTTTGGTTAATCAAAAGTATCTGAGGTATCTTTTTAAGAATTCTCGGTGAAGATAATAAACGCTAGATGTAAAGATGTCTCAGATACTTTTGATTAACCAAAACGCTATCTTATTATATAAAGAAGAGTTTTCCCTCTTTGTATGTTGCCACGTCACTAAATAGGAGAGGGAAAATTCGCCACATGTCCACATCTGAAAAAATAATCGATGGCTTCGTTTGTTGTTATAGGCTTTAACGAAATTTTATGATTAATGAGCTGGGACAATCACCACCATGTCTTCTTCTCACCGGAGCCACCATGGTCGTGTTTCCTTTGTTCGATTGAGTTTTCCTATGTCGCCTTCATCGTCATAGACGTCAATC